CCTTCAACTGTGGAATTTGAGTAGGTGCTTCTCGACGAACCGCTTCTCGAACTATCCTCAGATTCTATAAAGTTGGTAGTAGTTGAACTGGTTGAGGTTGTGCTACTGGATTTCTTGTCAATATTGCTAGATGTCAAGCTACTCGAAGCTGACACAGAATTTGGACTGTTATTTTCCAGGGATTGTTCAAGTGAAGTATCACAGAGGGAGTCTGGCGAGGCAGATTCGATATTGAATGTCACATTACGAGATTTACTTGATTGCAAAACAGGCTTATCCATAGGTTCTGGTGCAGATGGTCGATATTCTATCGGTTAAGGGGCAAAGAAAATGTAACATCAGTTAGATGGATTGTATGTTACCATAAATTGCGCACTGTGGAGACGAGGTGCTTCTATGACGTAATTGGGTGACATGAAGGCCGATCATAGCTTAATAACGATAATATCGTTTTGATCTGTAGTAGTCCGACAACGATGTTTTTGGGAGACTTATTATATTCTAGGCAACAAACGACAACACAACTAAACAGAGTTATCAAATTAAACAACGTTACTTCATCTATATAGGACATTTTGACGTCACAGAAGCGCTCCACCACTAGAGGGCGCAATTTATGGGAATAGTGTATTGTCATTATATATGAGGCCTATTTTTAAATTCCTGAAGCCACATAGCATGTAGTAGAGATCATACAAGTCACAGAGTGGTCTATATTATTATGTGAGACACTACAAGCGTTTATAATTCTTGCTTTAGTGTATAAAAATATAAGTTCATGAAAACTTTCAGAGCTGTAAATTTATTGTAAAATTATGAAATACTAATGAATGTACCAATTATGTAAATGGTCATTTTCTGAATAGAAAATAATACTTTTTTCCAAAAACACGACTCAATAATTTAAATTTAGTATTTATTTTGGGCATCTTACTGCATACTACTGTACCCTCATTAGATAAATATGGTGTAAATGTTTACCAATAAGAATGGCACCTCAGCTCATTTCGTGTCACATAAAACAGTTATTAAACTAAAACAGTATTGCCAAGAGACAAGCTCTATCGGGATGGCAACACAGCACAGTCTGTGTGGTAATCTTACCATGTACGTCATCATCTGAGAGAAGAATTTCGCCGTCAGCACTCCCAGTAACCTTTAGAATTTCTAAAATAAAACACAACAGTTGTATAATAAAATGCAATTTTCGCTACATGTCGGAGATGCCCGGTCGCCGAGGGGAAGACGTCTGGTGACGTGCAGCTAGGCGATTAGGTGCTTCACGCGAGCGCCGGTTAGAGCCACGCACGCAGTACGTGTTTACTTTGATTTGACGTACTATTTACCTTGCCGTTTATTCGATGTTATTTGCTTACTTTACTTCCTATGTCC